CCCCCCCCCCCTTTCCCCCACAAAAACACCGGAATATATCATTTAGATCTATATGTTTTTCCCTCAATGCCCCTCTGTGTCAGCGGCCAGGAGAAGATGTACAACATTCTGACAACCACCATGGAGAAGGAGCTACCATCGGTCATCAACTCTGTACTGACGTACGCCGCCTCGCCCGGCGTCATCTTGCCGCTCTTCATGTTGCTCGGGTCAGTAAGACAACAGTTATTGAACATTGTCATGTAAGGTCGAGTTATGCTGCTTCCCTCACTACTCTGACTACTCAACTCTGTACTGACGTACACCGCCGAGCCAGGCGTCATCTTGCCGCTCTTCATGTTGCTCGGGTCAGTGAGACAATATTATTGAATATTGTAAGGTCTTTGAGTTATATTGCTTCCCTCACTACTCAACTTTGTACTGACGTACCCCGCCTCGCCCTGCGTCATTCTTCCGCTCTTCATGTTGCTCGGGTCAGTGAGACAACAGTTATTGAACATTGTCGTGTGAGGTCCTTGAGTTATATTGCTTCCCTCACTACTCAACTCTGTACTGACGTACGCCGCCTCGCCCGGCGTCATCTTGCCGCTTTTCATGTTGCTCGGGTCAGTGAGACAGAAGTTATTGAATATTATAAGGTCCTTGCGTTACGTTGCTTCCCTCACTGATCAACTCTGTCCTGACTATGCCGCTACCTCGCCGGGCGTCATTCTGGCGCTCTTTGTGTTGCTCGGGTCAGTGAGAGAGGGTTACGAGTGATCTACTTTGTTGTTGTTGTCGTCGTTGTTGGAATGGTCAGTGTTTTCATTAGAATTGCTTTTATCCTCCCTTTTCTCTTCTTTTTCCCTCCACTGTCATCATCATCATCATCATCATCATCATCATCATCATCATCATCATCATCATCATCATCATCATCATCATCATCACATGAAAGAAGAAGACTTCCACTTTCAAATGAGTCTTTGTGCCAGGAAGGAAACAAGCAAGATTGCACTTCGTTTGGAGGATCGAAGATGTATTAAGACTAACGTCATTATCAGTTACCATCTTCTCCACTACTACCATAACCACCACAACAACAATAAGCATTATCAGTATATAAAAAAATACTTACTTACTTTACTTTTTTTTCATCCTCTAGTACCTATACGTTCTTATACTAATCAAGCACACGGCGTGATGCTCGCACACCCTCTCATTTCTGCACTACACGTTGTCTGCGCTCGGCCTCTATCTCTCCGTGACCTACTTCCGATGAGGCGGCCTGTTCTCTGACCGTCTAGTCTAGTACCCTTAGGATGTCAAGGGGAAAAGCAGGTTTCAGACCTCTGCGAGGTGTTTTGTTTTTGTTTGTTTGTGGGGTTTTTGT